TTTCGGCCCAGAATTTTCATTTCGGTGCATCCCTACTAAAAATCATTACTTTAAACTTTATTCATACAGGTAAAAGTGTCAGTAACAGGACTGGAAAATGGCAAAGAATAAAACACAAGTAAAATAGAACATATTTTTACAATAATCCAGATTTAAAACTGTAAAAGTGAATTTTTTTTTTGAAATAAAATACAATAAAATAAAGGATTAAAAATGGTTGGTAACAAGATTACACATAAGCAAATACCATCTAGATTTTAAGCACTTTATTTCACTGACCACTTTGTTTTAAAAAAAGATTAATCATTAAATAAAATAAACAAATACATTTAAAAAGAGGAAAGAACGGTTTAAATGGTTTACTGTATATAATCACGGATAAACGTGTATCATCAAGGGGGTCTAACGTACCACTATCCTGAAATAATCACTGGGAATGACCGTGTCTCCATCCTTCATCCATTTGACGGTGGGCGGCGGCGAGCCGGTGACGTCACACTCAAAGATGATGTCCATGGACTCCTGGGCGTAAGTGTTGGAGGGTCTCGTCAAGAACCGTGGAGGAACTAGAAGAAGAAAATTAATAAATGCAGGTATGAACTAGAGAGGAGGTCACAGGGTGCATTACGCAATAAAAGTGCAACATCCCATCGCTGGGATTCGTGTGACAGACGTGGCTGTGCTGGGACAGGTAGCGGCAGGTAAAGTGAGTTTCCTCTAAACCTCCTTCGCAGTTCCTATAGCAACCGCATCCATCAGGGAACAAGCTAGTTTGCATCCTCTCCTGATGTTTGTAAGTTGTGCAGGTAATGGAGGATGTGTATAACAAGAACACAGAGTCGCTAAATATAACAAGAGTTTCAGATTCAGAGGTGGTTTTCTTATCAGCGGCTGGCAAAAGTGCGTCAAGGATGACTGATTCTGTATTTTTCACGCCCAGCTTCACCTTCTAAAATCAACAAGAGACAAAGAAAATCAACAGCGCTCCATCTGCTGTCAGTTGGAGGGGAGAAACAGAGGAAGATTCGTTTCCTTGAACTCTGCTACGCTAACAATCTCTGGCAGTCACTGTTTGTGGTGTGATCTCAATTCTCTAAAGCGCAAAATCACACTGTTGTTCCTCTCCAGCATCAGCCTTGGTGAATTATGCTGTTTACAGACTTGGTTTTGTTGTTTGGATGAACTTGAGTTCGATCTTCTGACCCTCAGACTCCTGCAGGACTGGTTTCACACCGGCTGTGTTCTCAATGGAATACTTGTTTACTGCGCAGCACATACTGTATACCATCTAATGCTTTTAAAAACAAGTAGTAGGCCTATGTGAAAAAGTATACCAATAACATTAATATGCTACATCAATGGTCTCAAACTCAATTCCTGGAGGGCCACAGCTCTGTACAGTTTAGCTCCAAGCCTAATCAAGCACACCTGATCCAGCTAATCAATCTCTTCAGGATTACTAGAGACTTCTGAGCAGGTGTGAGTTGGAGCTAAACTCTGCACAGCTGTGGCCCTCCAGGAACTGAGTTTGAGACCACCGTGCTACATTGTCACATGACCTCATTCTCCATATTTAATTCAGCAACTGCAGATGACTGAAGTGTGCAGGATTGACACAAGCACTAAACTGAAACATATAGAACTGAAGTATACACTAAAATATGCACAACCTTTTTTGTTCTGATTTTCATAATTCTGAGATTTGAATATAATATATTTAAACATATGTTGAATAAAAGAATCGATTTCTTACATTTCTTACATTATATATATATATATATATATATATATGTATGTATGTATATATATATATATTAGACCCTTTACAGATTGAAATGCTGTATTACTCTTATATGTACGATCAAGTATGAAGGAGCATTTTAGTTCTTTTCGCTGTCAACATTCAAATCTGCAAAAAGTTCCGCCGCCGGAACTGTCGACCCCAGGAGGTTAATGACAGAATGTTCATTTTTGGGTGAACTAACCCTTTAAGGTGGGTGTGTCTGCTGCGCACATCCAACACAAAATATATTTCTTTATGTACGGAATTATGCAGGAAATATGAACCATGAAGATATGTCTGGTATTAGTATGAGAAATTGATTCGTATATACAATGAATAATACAATACAAGCCTCTGTTACTATGTTGTATTGAAATGAAAAGCTTACCATGCATCATCTTGGAAATAAGGCTTCATGTCTTTAAGTCCGTACAATATGTAGTCAGCGTTATTTCTCTGAAAAAGTTATGATGTGTATATTTTTAATGTCCTGATTGAGCAACATCTATTTCAGACTCTCCAAGATCGCGCAAATATGCCGTTTTACTAGCATTACCGTTTCCATGTAAATTGTTATGTATATATGTCAAATTAATAATTAATTTAACCAACGTTTAAATCATTACCTGCTTCAAAATGAATGCTGTTAACGAAATCATTGTTGAAACATTTGCAGTTAGCCTACTGCACGAATAAAAACACTATAACAAAATTACATAAAAAGTGAATAACTGTACAAGGCAAATTAAAGTTTTTTTTTATACAAAGCACAAATGTTTATTCAGATTTCAGAATGAGCACTGTCATTAGTAATGCATATGCTGAGGATTTTGTCTGTCTGATGTTCGTCATGTTCATCTGATGTTCGCTACTGTAATGTAAATGAACGTAACTTTTTAATAAGCAGGGGAAATTCCAGACATTAAACAAATAACCGTTTGCATGCTTAGGACGTTTGCATTGTAAGAATGTACAGGATTATTTCAGATATAAAAACGCCTTGTTGATGTTTTCTCATTAAAATCGTAAGGTTTCCTATTAATTCAATAGAATGTATGGGAATACTGGAGAATAGCAATATGGCGGCGCGGAGGCTTCACTTTCATGACATCGTGAGCAATCCAGTTCTCTATTATAGATCAGTGGTCCAAACATCTGATAATAACATCACAATAATCCACACCACTCCAGTACATCTTCAAACCATTGTTTCCGGGTAAATTATGAGTCCTATATCCATTATATTACTTCCGCCAGAGAAAAAGTCTGTATCGTGTTGTACTCTCACATTAAAATGTACATATTTTTCTCCTAATTTCTGGATAAACATATACTATGAACAGAGGACTCATATTTTAGCTGTTGGATTTGTTTCTTGCAAACAGTTTTTCACTTCACAAGATTAATTGCTGGACTGGAGTGGTGTGGATTATTGTGGTGTTTTTATCAGCTGTTTGGACTCTCATTCTGACGGCACCCATTCACTGCAGAGGATCCACTTTTGAGCAAGTGATGTAATGCTACATTTCTCCAAATCTGTTCTAATAAAAAATAAACTCATCTACATCTGGGATGGCCTGAGGGTAAGGACATTTTGTGCATTTTAATTTTTGGGTGAACTATTCCTTTAATCTAAGATCATGAAATCATACAATTAACTTACAGTAACTATATTTTTCAGTAGCCTGACAGTTTTTAATGAGACAAAACTTCAAAAAAATATCAGAAATGTAGCACTTGAAACCTTGTGAAAACTTTGCTACAAAGTGAAAATGTTAAAAAGGGCATTCAAACAAAGTAGTGCACACAAATTCAGCCTCATTCATCAAACATGAGAATACCAAAAACCATTATATGTAACTTGTCACATTCAACTTAATGCTACAATTATGTTATAATGATTTTACAGACTTTTTGTAAGGCCAGTAATTTCCTCTGCGTTTTCTGCAGCACTTTTTGAATGAATGACCACTCTCAGGCTATTTGTGACCACTGCATTTACCTGTGCACATGTAAAAAAGGAAATTATGGGTGGTCAGGTGGCCACATTTAGTCAAAATTATAGCTATGGGTTTGAGTTGTGCATGCATTAACTCATATCTAGAGAGCAGAGTCTTTTAAAAGTGTTTCCATGCAAAACTCCACATTAGACGGAGCTGTAAATTCCCACTGACTCTCCAAAAAAATAAATCCTATGCCAAGAGATGAAAATAATACAGAAAAAAATAAATAAATAAAAACAAAACAACGCTTTGAAGTTCCTCCTCCGCAGAGGAAATGCCGTCTAGACACGTGCGAGTCTCAAAAGCCTGAACAATGTTGCTCATAATTACATACGGGAGGTTTAGTGCTGCTTCGTGAGTCTGTTTGTGCTGAATTGAATGTTTTCGTGAAATGTACCGTGCACCGTGAGCTCTGCCTGGATCTCGCTGGTCATGTTGCCGCTGTCCGTCTGGCAGACGTATATCCCAGCATCCTCTTCGGTCAGGTTGACGATCTGCAGGCTTCCCCTGCCAATCACAGCAAAACGCTCATGGCTGGAAAAAAAAAAACACAGAGAAAGAGACACGAGGAGATGAGGATGTGTTAAAACGACTTTTGCTCTCAGCGTTTTCAGGAACGCCACTGTAATGCCGGATTGAGATGGAATCGAAAACAGGATACAGTATGGATTTCATTTCCTGCTGCTTTTCCTTTATGGCTTGATTGCACTGAAAGCAACTTCCCCAGAGTGTTTCACTGGAGGTTTCTCGAGAAAAACAAACTACTGTTCCCGGTTCCTCCCCAATGATTCGGAGGCAGGAAGAGACAGAGAGTTAATCTAAGATGAGCTGAGAATGGAAAGAAAAAAAAAAATCAATAGTCACACACAACAGAGGAGAGAAAGCAAAGAGGAAGGATGAAGAGTCGACAGGGTCCCGCTGAACATAGTCAGACCTCCAAACCTCACGTCGCTTTATTAGAAAAACACCCCTAGAGGGGAAAGAAAAGAAATCACCAATTACTGAGTTTGACTAAGAACGGAGAGTAAACCAGCCAGGAACGATGCCTTCCCACATTCACCCAGCAAAATCCACCCGCTCACTCGTCAAGAAGCTTCTTCCAACACACCCGAGTGTCAAACTGCAGCTCACAGTGACAATGACAACGGCTGAGCCAATTCTGGTGTAAACTGGTGTGAATTCTAATAGCAACTGAGACATGAATGCAGCAATTTTAAATAGCATGCATTACCATTCAAACGTTTGGTGTCAGTATAAAAAGAAATGAATACATTCATTCAGCAAAGACGCATTAAACTGATCAAAAGTGGCAGTAAAAATATGTTAGAAACTATTTCTATTTCAAATAAATGCTGTTCTTTTGAACTTTCTATTAATCAAAAAATCCTTAAAGTTAAAATGCATCATGGTCCCCACAAAAACATGAAGTAGCACATCTGTTTTCAGCATTGAAAATAATAATAATAAATGTTTCTTGAGCAGCAAATCAGCATATTAGAATGATTTATGAAGGATCACGTGACACTGAAGACTAGGGCTGGGTATCGAGTTCGATACTTTTTAGGCACCGACCGAAATGCCTCGATACCATCGAGTATCGAAAAACATCTCGTCGTTCGGTACCAAATTTCAATACCTAAGGGGTTAATCTCATCAGCGTCAGTGAGCCAATAAGCCTGCAGCACTAGCCAGTTCGACTAGAAGAGGTGCGACGCAGCTCGATCAGTGTTTGACATCCGCGAGAGCGATTCGAAAGCGCATGGAGCCCTACTGAAGACTGGAGTAATGATGCTTTGATCACAGGAATAATTTACATTTGACTATATATCCACACAGAAAACAGTTCTTTTAAATTGTAATAATATTTTACAATATTACGGTTTTTACTGTATTTTGATCAAATAAATGCAGCTTTCTAAATGCAATCTTACCAACCCCAACTTCTGAACGGTAGTGTAAATTATTGCATAAATGTTGCATAAACACAAATATGTGAATTTCTAATGACGTACTTGAAGAAATGCTAAAAATGCTCTGAAAACCATTTATGTTGTTAGAAATTGACAAGAATTTAACCATTTCAGAATGAATGTTTTTATGAACAAATTTTCACAAATTCACTCTACTTGAGTTTAAAATCCGGGTTTATACATTTTTAGAATGTTTGAACATTATTAGAATGTTTGAAGTTTAGGATAACGTTGAAAACATTCTGTCAATGTCATTTTTATGAACAACTTAATCTAGAAACATTATTATTCATTAGAAAACAGTTTTTTCTAGACTTTAGCATGAAAATTAATGGAAGCCGTTTGCTACTAGACAATTATGTCATTTTAAAAATCATGTAGCTCTTACCATAACAAAAGTCTACACCGCTGGCTTTCTATTACAGAAACGTCCTTTTAAACAAACTTTTTGAGAACTTTGTTACCAGCTTAAAAAATGTAATATTAAAAGAAGAATCAATTCTTACAATGTTTTCTTCAAACATTGTGAGAAAATTCATCAAAAACTAATACCTTCATAAGAATCAATGAACATGAATGTTTCAGAGCTTGCACACAAAGCACCTGATCACAGGAGCGCCACTCAAGCGGCAGCTATATTTAGCACCCCCAGCCACTGTTTGTCTGTGATGAGACAGCAGGCGCCGCTCTGAAAAACCAGGTCCACGAACCCAACGAGAGATTCGTTTAACGCATGAGATGACAGAAGTCAGATGACGCTGCAACCGTGAACGCTACAGGGAGCCCCTGAGAGACCTGAGGAGGAGGCGGCGTCCAAGGCCGGATAATTAAAAAAAGAAATTAAAAAGAAGATGAGTCTATAAAGTACAAAGAGCCTTGTTAATGGTCTTTTAGCACAGCATTAATGCACCAGACTGGAGGAGGGTAACAGAGCATGATGGGTAAAAAGTTTGTTTTTAAAGGAATAGTTCAGCCTATTTTGACATTATGTTCCTTTGTAGATTTTAAAATGCACTGAGCCCTTTTTTTGCACTTTGACATTGTTTATTCACTCAAAACTGAAGGCTGAAAATTTAAACTAAAACCATAAAAAAAAGTGTTATTTGAAATAAAAATCTATAAATTTAAAATAAAATATTTTTTTTCACTTAGTTTACAAGGCAACATTTACATTTTAATATTTAATATAAAAATGTAATATTTATGTTTAGTTTAACTTGAACTGAAATATAGTTTATTACTAAGCTATATAGATATAATAAAATGATAAAATAAAAATGACAACATTTATAAAACTTAAACTTTTTTATAACAATTAAATCTATTTTAATATATTAAATTAAAAATAAAATTTAAATGGTCACTACCGTTTTGTCATTTTATGGCAAAGAGATTGGGTAAAAAAATAAATAAATAAATAAATAATTTTTTTTGGGTGAACTTCCTTTAAATTAGCACAAAATTCAACCCATGAATATTTAATTTGCTAATAATTGTCCCAAACAAAACCACACACTTGATAACATCTGATTTATTTAAAACTAAAATTAAATTACACTTTTTAAACCCTGATGGATACAGGGAAAAAAGATACAATCAAGTGTTATTCTCTTAAACTTTATCTTTGAGAACATCTGGCTGAACATTAACTTCAGAAGGATTCTTATGTTAGGATTTATTATCCTCCATTTCCCAGAATTCTTCCATTCAAAGGCCAGTTTAAATTTACTGTTGTTTGCTAACGCTGATCAACCATTAAAAACGTAATAAATGTACTATAAATGTTTAAAACACATGCAAACACTTCCAGGATGTTGTACGTCGTAAATATAAACATGAGAGCGAGATTTCGAAGTAGAATGCATGATATTACTATTGGAAAAAAAAAACATAAATCAGAGTACTGCACAAAGAGGAAGTGCTCGTTGAAAATTTACACCCATTCATCCAGCATTGGCGCCTCAGAGGGACTGCTGAAGGTGCGTTTGTGTGCGACACCTGACTGGATTTACAATACACTTATATTACAATGTTCCCCTTGCAAATACTCCAGGCTGATGTTTGTGTTGAGAAGAGGTCGAGTATCTGTCGTCAACACAAACGTCCATCTTACCGCATCCCGTCTGGAATACACAAAACTGCTCAGTCTCTGGCTGGTTCATCCACATCAGCGAGGACAAAACGTGTTCTTGTCAGTGAAGAATGCCATTCGCATTCATCCCAAGAATTCCTCCGTGATCCGCTGGCTTTCTGTAAAGCACTAAACAGCATTCCGGCTCTAATCCATGAGATTCAAACGTGAGATAAGACAATTACAGCTGTGTGATGATCTGGGTCGACCCCTGTCAGCTTCCTGTTCATATCCGACACTCTTTAAATGATTCCAAACATGGAGAAACCGGCCTCAGATCAGAAAGCATTTATCAGAAATCACTCAAGGGATTGGCTCTAAATGAGTGTTTATGCGTGGCCAGTAATGAATGAGCGTCTGAGCTGATAAGGATGTTTTCACACACCAACACATGGTGAATTTGTTTATTCAGTTCCCGCAAGCCGTTCCACAATCTACAGATTAGACTTACAACAACATGCCAGAGAAGCAAACAATGGAGGAGGGCGAAGAATGTGACTTATTCAACACCGGTTCTCCATGCTGAAATTTAAGGCCTCTAAGCATACAAGATTTGAACGTTTTAAGCTTGGCATTTTACTACCTTAAAAGCTTAGTTCACGCAATAACAAAATTGCCATTGTTTACTCTCCCCTAATGTCATTCTAAACCAGTATGGTGCTTTAAAAGAATTTTCACACAGTTCCATTCCAGTCAACAGTTTATAGTGACCTCTAAACAGATAAAAATGTAATTACATTTTTAAAATGTACGGTATTTAACAAGGTAAAAAAAAAAAAAGAACAAAAAATATGAAACAAAATTAAAGGCATGAAAGAGGTTCTTAACAAGGAATAAATAAATAAATAGCAGCATTTATTTCATTTTACACTTACATATTTTTACTCGCATATATATTTGACATTTGGTAAACATTACATTTAACAGTGTTGTTAAATTTGTATTTTATTTTAAAGACTACATTTAAGTGAGCTTTAGATGATGGGAAAGGCATATTAAATGAAAAGAAAAAAATACAAGAAATGAGCATGCACAATTAAATATGTAATATTTGTCATACATATCCAATATGGACTTAAACATTTAGAAATGTTATAATGGATCAACCTAAATTTTGATCTGTCACACAAAGCTATCATACCATTTGAACTGCAACTTTAAATGGATAGTTCATCCAAAAATGAAAATTCTGTCATTAATTACTCGCCCTCATGTCGTTCCAAACCCGTAAGACCTCCGTTCATCTTCGGAACACAAATTAAGATGTTTCTGATGGAATCTGTGAGCTCTGACCCTCCCATAGACAGCAAGGATCCTAACACGATCAAGGCTCAGAAACGTAGCAAGGAGATCGGTAAAATAATCCATGTGACATCAGGGGTTCAACCGTAATATTACGAAGCTCACCATTTTGGAGGATACTCTCCAAAATGGCGCTATAGGGTGACGCGGAGGAGACAAATTGTTGAATCGTTTTTTTTTTCTTTTGCGTACAAAAAGTATTCTCGTAGCTTCGTAATATTACGGCTGAACCCCTGATGTCACATGGACTATTTTACCGATCTCCTTAAAGGAACTATCCCTTTAAGAGTCTTTAAAAATCCTGTATTAGTGCTTCAAAATTCTGAAACATAATAGAAAAATCTATTTTTAGGTGAAGTTTCCTTTAAAATCATTTCAATCACAGTCTAAACCCAATCTCCTGTGAGAGAAGCGGAGCAATCTAGTGTGTCTTCACTCACAGTGGGGTTTTTACCAGAGTAAAGACTGAAACTCTACAGGGAAAAATGAAACTCTGAAGGGAAGATTTGGATTACACACATGCAGATACGCACTGACACACATCCACAGACTACAGATGTTGTGTGAGCCATGATGGACTCTGTCTACCCCTCTGAGGGACTGGGCATTGTGGGTAATATGACATTATTAGAATGTATCCAGCATCAGGAATACATTACATCGCCCGAAGACCATGAGAGAAGCAATTACGCTGTAAATGGAGTCTGTCAGCAATCATCGGTCCTGCAGAGACAACCGGCAAAGAACCGCAATTAGACATTTAGCCGCTTTCAATCGACAGCGTGAACTGACAACAAGCCTCATCGGAGGAAGCCGAGAGAGACGAGGTCGGGATGCGACGCACGCGAGCTGAAGGGGGTAGTTAGAGGCTTAAACAGGTCATGATTAGTCTGCTCAGCTCTTTGATACGATCAATTCACTCTTTATGGAATGCGTCGTTTCAAATTACGGTGGGTGGGATCGAAGAGGCGAGGATGCATCTCAACAGACGGCAGCAGAACAGGGCTGAATCTCAACCAATCTGAATGAAATTCTTTGAAGACAATGGCTCTGGTCCAAACACTAATCAGCTGCCTACACAGACAGCATTTTAATGTGCCATCGGCATGATCACGATATGAACCCTAAATGATGCTGCAAAAATCTTTTCATCTCATTTCATACAGGATTTTTTAGTTTTTTTTGGTTTAAAAAAAACTGTTTAAAACTTAAAAATTGTGTGTGTGTGTGTGTGTGTGTATATATATTAGTGCTGTCAAACGCTTAATCGCGATTAATCGCATCCAAAATAAAAGTTTTTGTTTACATTATATATGTATGTGTACTGTGTATTCACAAAAGAAACACACACAGGACAGTTTTGCTCTGCTTCCATACATATACTTTCATTCTCTCTTTCTGGATTTCATTTCTCAAAGAACTTTCCATCTACAATTCCCAAATTGTATTCCAAAATAAAATGTATAAAAGAAAGAAAAACATCATTAATTTTGCATGGGCCGCAGCAGGGATGGAGCTTTATCCCCAATCTTATTAGGGCAGCAACTGTCAGAAAAGAGGCTGAGCATTTGCCCTCCATTAGCAAGTCTAGAGGTTTCCTATATACAACACCTACACAATCCTCCAATCTCATTCACAGATGTTAAGCTCAGTCTTCTGTGTGCTTTCATCAGGATAAAAGAATATGAAGATTACATTTTTACATTTACTGAAAAAAATTGGAGTGACTTTCACAACCACTGCACCAAAGTGTTGTTACTGTTAACTTAAACTATCCAAAATAATTTTCAATAATTGAAATAAAGCTGAAATAAAATCAACTATAAATACATACATACATGCATACATACATATTAGTGCTGTCAAACGATTAATCGCGATTAATCACATCCAAAATAAAAGTTTTTGTTTACATAATATATGTGTGTATAAATTTCTGTTTAATTTAATTGCAATTTTGTTTTTGGTTTTTCTGAGCAAAAAATAAATACCATACATTTTTCCCTGATTTACAGAAGACACCCACTAAAATGTCATTCAGTGTAACATT